CTAATGGGGTCCGGGCTAAAATTGCTTTTAAAAGTGGCCAATATTAATTTTGCCTCACCCTGTATAACTTTTCGGGTCATGTTTTAATTTAATTTAAAGTATAATTGGATCTTTTAACTACATATTAGGATATACCGGGTAAATTCCAATTTAGGTATTGAAATTTAAAATTTCATCTTTATTTTTAGAAAATGTTATTATGTCAAAAATCCTAGATTTAAATCATAATCTTCTTTAAGGAAACAACTCACCTTTGATTTTTCCTCGAATCCGAAAATCACTTAATATAAAGGGTGTTTTAAAAAACACACCACTTTGATGTATAACTTGCTTTGACGACACCCCGTAGAACACCATATTTTTAAAAATTGATCTCAATTAACCTATACACTCACAAAATATCATTTCAATACAAACTGTCGTTCTTCTTGGAGCCTCCGAGTCGATGAGAGGCGCCACCCTGTACTTACACAACATTAAATAAAGTGCTTTTAATGCAGTCTGGTTCATTAGAATATAATAAAGTTTTAAGAATATAATAAGTATAGATACAAATTTGAATGTTTCTAGGATATTAATAATTACAGAAGAGCTAATAAATAGGTGTCTATAGTTAACTTTCTCTTATTTTAAAAAAATCAATATTTTTAACCCTCAGGGGCCCGGCTAAAAATCATTAAAAAATTCCAAGCTAGCCACATTTGAAACTGAAAATAAAATTTTTCGGCTTTAAATTTAGTAAGGCGCTATTATAAATGTATTTAAATAATTTTGCAATTTAATATGATTTATTTTAAAGGCTGCTGGTATACAAAATTTTCGATTGTATGATTGATTTTTTATTGTCTTATCTTTTCATGCAAATTTACCTACAGGTTCCGCAATTCCTAAAATATTGGTTCGAAATGTTTATTTATAACACAATTATACAAACTGTAGACATTATAGTAACGGTTGGTTAGATATCTGTTATGCGTAAATCGTTCAAATAGTAGCTCTAGATAAGATATACATTTACTTTAATTCTATTCAAAACACATACTTTAAACTAATTGTGCATTATAGTATACTATTGTCGCTTTGGGTTATCGATTGCAGGTCCGGAATAGCCAAGGTGGAAAAGTTTTTTTTTGTTCGCTAACAATTAATATTTTTGAGAATAAACCGACTTCTTGGTATAGGTATATAATATCAAGAAAGTCGATATTGAAACTGATAAATAAAACATGGCTATAATGGATTTGCAGCAGTGCAAGGACTCCATTTTGAAATACATTCTTCGTTACAATACGTACAACAAACAGAAATTCAACGAAAGGCAGTTGAAATTGCTAAATAATAAGCTTATCAATGCTACTTGTCGGATATGAATCCCCCTGCAGTGCTGTAATGCGAAAATAAAAATGCCACCGTTGGCCACCAAACGCGTACCTAGAACAATGAATAGAAACAGGACTGGTAGTCGAATTTAACGGGAATATACTAGAATAAACATAAAATATTCTATAACTCCTAATAGAAATGTTCACAAAAAAAATAAAAAGTGCCTACTTCTCATAAAATCATTCATTATGACATTAAAACTCAGTATGCAAAGTTTCATAACATTCCGTAAAAGGCTTATGCCTCAAAACTCCGTACGAAATTATGGTAATTGTTTGAATCCGCTAAACGCTCACCTACGTCACTGCTTCGATCGGTATTTCCGCGCGAGTAAACGGTGCTGTCTGCACGCTGTGGAATTTCTAACAGAACAAGCTAGAATACGACATATATCGGCGTTGTGCTCGGTTGTATAGTTTGTATATTAAATTTGGTTTATTGTGAATAATATTTGGAGTTTATTACTAGTTTAAAAACAAAGCTACTTAGTGAGATGGAGGGCGGGTTTTCTTGAAAGCTATAACAAACAACACTTGGTTTTTAACAATACAAAATTAGTGAGTTTTTGAGTTGCCAGAGCAGTATTTAGGAGGAGGGGGCCAAATTTTAAATTTGAATTATCATATTGAACTAAAAATTTGCATGCGTATATAGAAGCTAAGACAATGTAAAATTATCGTATTGTTGATCTGATACAGGGCCGAATTAAGGAGAAGAAGCCAAATCTTAAATTTTAATTGTATGGACCTGAAAATTCGCACACGTATACAGGGTGTCCAGTTTAAAATGAGGTACCTACATGGGGAATAATGGGGATCTTGAAGACCGTTAAAGTTACAAGATCGATTAAATAGAAGAAAAGTTGCGTTTTTGTGTCTTTGTGTGTCCAAAAATAATCTAGGTCTATTTTATTTAATATTCATATACCGTTACGCGCCGTTACGTAAATACAGGGAGAAAAAGAAAAATGTGCATTTTCTAAACACCACCATATTCTCTTTATTAGTGGAGCTAAGGTTATCAAAATTTTAACATAGGAAGGAGTAAGGCAATATGGAAATTTTAAAACTTATGTTCAAAAAAGTCTAGGCGTACTACGTCGCGCATGGCCGAAATGCACTTTTGCTGTTCCTATGGGCGCCATACTGAAATACATGGTTGAAAACATTTTTAATAAGGATTTTTAAAATGCCAAATTTAAATATGACGTTCATAAGAAAAATAAAAGCTGACCTCGGCCGTGCGCAAGATAGAAGGCCTAGGTTTTTTTTTATATCAGTTTTAAAATTGCCATGTTGCCTTGCCCATATATTGAAATTTTGATTACCTTAGTCAATTTTGATTACCTTAGTTAATAATAAAGAAAATATGGTGATTTTTCGAAAATGTTCATTTTTTCTTTTTCACCTTGTATCTACGTAACGGTATGGATTTAAAATAAAATAGACCTAGATTATTTTTGGGCACACAAATACGCAATTTAGCTTCCATTTAACCGACTTTGTATCTTCAACGGTTTGCAAGAGATCCCCATGTACCTCATTTTAAATTGAACACCCTTTAGAACCCATAGTAAGCGAAACATTTACAAGTGAAAAAACTGACAAAAAAACCTTTTTAAAAACAAACTTAAAATTAAATGCACTTAAAAGTAGAAAATAAGAATTAAAAGCAAGGGACACATAGTAACGATTTAAACTTCTGTGTATTAATTTTTGAAGTATTAATACACCTAGGGACAGAACACCACTTATTTGAACTCATTTTACTTCTTTAAAACACCAAAACAATGAAAATAAACAATACACCTTCGCGAACGTCTGCAAAAACAATGCGGCCATTGCACGATCGTACGGACGCCATCTATCGATCAAAGCAGTGACGTCAAAAACAGGTAGCCTCGAGCCGGGTACGTTTTCTAGCCTTGCTGCATTTCTCAATTTTGTTTTGCGTTTATGTGAAAAAATTATAGTTTTTAAGAAAAATTTTGAGTACCATGTTTTTTTACTCATATGTAGCTATCCAAATTCATTGAAATTAGAAATTAGTGAACATGTCTATTGGAACAAAGATCATCTAAGAAAATTCGCCATTGGGTCTTGTATTTCGCCGCCGTTTTATTTGGTCCCACATCTTGTATCAGTCTTTCTCCATGATATTGAAGAACGGCAATCACATATAGAGGTCTTGTGGACTCCATTCTAGAGCTTGTTATGATATGTTTGATTGTGCCTCCTCGGGGTACGTTATAAATTGACCCCACTTCCTGCTTTTCGTTTCTGATTTTATCTCTCCTTGTCTTGTATCCTGTTAAACAGTCCTTCACCATAGTGTTGAAGGACGGCATGCATGCATGCATTTTGGACTACATTCTTCAGCTTTTCATGCTATGTTTGATTGGCTTCTTAAAATACATGATCAATTATTGAACCACTTAATGCGTTTGACTTCAATTTTTATTTTTTCTTCTCTTGTATCGTGTAAAACAGTTCTCATTTTGAAGGACAAAATGCACATCTAGAGCTCTTTGGACTCCATTCTAGAGCTTGTCATGCTATGTATGATCGGCCTCTGTGAAGTACAGTGGATAATGTCAGATTCAACAGAATTTTCCAGTAGATCACTTACGACTGGTAAGTAGCGGGGGTAATTTGATGGGAGTCTAGACCTTTTTTCATGCCAGGTTGACTGTACTAAAGTTAAATAGGTATTTAAAGCCGATGGGAAGTGCAGATTATGTAATTAAAATATGAAATAGAATACATTCCATATCAGGTATGATTTCCCAGCAAATGTGCGTTTCTGTGCACTAGGCAATGATAAACAATTGGCAAAGGCTATATGGAAAGTTTGGTTATGGAAAGTCACAGAATATTGTGATAAGGATATGACTGGAGAGCCTAATCTAAAGCACAGTATGAAGAATAATTAAAGTCAAAGTAGAATATCCCAAAAATTATCTCGTAAAATTCTAGATACAATCAAAACACAATACACTTTTTTCGGCTACGTTAGTCATAGTTACAAGACCATTCTAATAATGTAAGAAAACCATCATGACTCAAACAAAAATATTATTTAAATCCTTACTGTTGAAACAGAATATATTAGGTTACTGATTATTTGTTATTAAATTGCGGAACTACATGGGAATATTTTAGTGTAAATGTAGTAAACCTTATTAACATTCAATGCGTTCAAACACCCGTCTTGTAGATGTCGCCGCTTATACCCATTTTATTAAATAAATCTGGTATGCGGATAAAAAATATCTTCGATTTAAGTAAATTTATTTCTACATTTATTCTTAACTTTTGCAAATAACGGTGGCAGCCTGTGGTTTAAATTTTCACCATACATCTTATTAGTTATTATATTTTGTATGAATTAACTTGGTGCTAGGTAAGATTTATCCATAATATTTAAGATCAGCAAATCATTTATATAATTTTCTAGCCATTATAGCAAAGAGTTACAAAAGAGAGAGAGAAATACACGAGGAACTTAAACTATCGCCTTTTACTTCATCAAACCGACCCTCAAAATTTCCCCCTGTTACACTGTTACTACGAGTGTGTTTCTACTTCATTTCAAAAACACTATTTTTTTTAATTTAGTTCAATGCGGGCAACTTCGTCATTAGATACCCCGGAAAAAGCAACGCCAGACTGCAGCCTAGAATTTCGATATCCATGCCGTTTCCTTGCAAGAATTTCACCGAGGCAGGAATAGGAAGGTCTCTCAGTAGACCGACCACTGTCCATCGATTGCGACCGGGTGACATCGACGTCATTGGAGCCATGGGCGACTCGTTGGTCGCAGGCAACGGGGCTTTGGAAGAGTTTGCCATGGGGACTATGATAGAGAACAGAGGCGTCTCATGGTGTGCAGGTACGTTCTACTCTAAAAATATAAAATCTATAATTTAGTTTCCTGTAAACTAATCCTCCCACTTGAATGCTAATTTTAGGGGTGTCGTGACAAATTTAAAATTAATTTAAATATCATTATTGAAATTATTTAATAGATACCAGTATATTATTCAATAATTCTCTATTCTTGTTTATAATTATGTGACACTAAAATGTTTATTGCTGTTGACAGTATCTTTCTACTACACAGAGATATCTAGTTTAGCAAGCTGCACCTTGCTACTCCCACCATGTATGAATGTAAAAAAAAAGGAGATTATCGTTATAACATTTAAAGCCATCTTGATTATTCGATTATTAGGTCACACTTTGTTACCTATTTTATTCTCTGCACTTTATTTTATTGAACAGGTGGCGAAAGCACATGGCGTCAATATATCACACTGCCCAACATTCTAAAAGAGTTCAATCCAAATTTACGAGGATATTCTACTGGAACTGGAGAATTTTTATCTGCAAAGGCCAAACTAAACGTTGCTTTCCCGGTGGCAGCCGACGCTGATGCTTTAAGACAAGCCAAATTTCTAGTAAGTAGATTTGTACTCTTTGTTGATATAACAATACAAACTGACAATTATCATGAATTAAGCTTCATTCAGAACCTTGCAATTAGTGCAATAAATTAATGGTTTCAATTACACTTTATACATTTTAGTTTACGGTCATTCACAATGTCTAAAAAACACAATTAAAATTAATAGGATATCCTAGCAACATCTTTTGATTTCTAACCACAATTTCCCTTGACGGATGATAATTGAAGGATGATTAAAGGCCAAAATAACATTCCTCGCAACTTTAGAAGTATAATTAGTGGAAAAGTTAAAAGTTTGTTAAGTTTTTCTACTAATTGAAAATGACTACCACTAATTGAGACGTTCTGAATGTTTACATTAAAATTAAAGGAACAAACTTCTACGCTAATTGAAACCACTAATTTATTCCACTAAAGCTTCATTCAGACCTATTTTGCATTCTATTTTTAATATAAGCATTCAGAACGACATAATTAGTGGTAGAAATATTCAATTAGTCGAAAAAATTAACAAACTTTTGACTTTCCAATTAATTATACTTCAAAATTTGCGAGGAATGTCATTTTGGCCTTTGATTATCATCCGTCAAGAAAAATGTTGGTTAGAAATCAAAAGTTTATTGTTTTCTAAGTTAAATATTATGCTTTCTCTATGGATACAACAGACTACCGCAAGCTGTTGCTAGGATATTTTATTAATTTTAATTGAGTTTTTAGACATTGTGAATGATCGTAAACTAAAAAGTATAAAGTGTAATTGAAACCACTAATTTATTTCTCTAATTCGGAGGTTCTGAATGAAGCTTTAAGATAACAAATTAATAATTATTTTTAAATATAAATGTGGTTGAGAAGAGCAATGAAGTGAAATAAATGGTAAGGGGAAAAAATAAGACAAAGTATCCAAACAGTGACTAACAGCTGACTATTTCAAAAATTAAATCTTGGAACATTCTTGCAGTACATTATAGTTTCTTCTGAGTTATCGAATATTTACCTTATCGCATTTTTTAAATTACATTTAATTATATACCGTAAAATTGAAAAAAAAACAGCGTCAAAGATAGCTTCGAAATGAAGATTCCTGTCATTTTATATGTAAAAAAATATAGGGAATGCCATTAAAATTATATTTTAAACTGTTTTGATCTTTCCGTGATTATATTTAGTGAATTTTGATATTGAAATTGCCATACTGTGATTGCTAAACATATTGATATTTTTATATAAAAACGTCTTCTTTAAATTTACGTTTTTTCCGATTAGAGGTTCCTTCTGAATAATCTGGGTTTCAGAGTTGAGACATGTTGTGATGCTAGTTCCATACATGGTGTGCAATATCTGATATCTGACTTCAATGTTTCACTTCTAACATATATTTTTTTTTATATTCATTAAGTCATATATTTAGATGTTTTTTTCTGTTTCCAGTATTCGACTCCTAGCATTTACAAGGTGTATGTTTTTTTGGTTTTTGTTCAGACCCTTTATGCAGTATTTTCAGCTGAATTTTCAAAACTAATGACAATGTCGTCACCATCTACCACTTCAGCAAATTTCATGCATAGCTGCAGTAATTACCATATTTTTCAAAGATTTTATGCCACATAAATAATTCTATAATCTCTTCAAGTCACAGGGTTTGTAGAATGTAGAATGATTAGGAGGGGAGTTAATCACCGCGACCTTATAGATCTATTGCGTGTTCCCCTTTCTTGAGTTATAACGAGTTATAACTCATCATGCAATCTCAGGGCTTAACAAAAGCCAGTATCTGAGACTGCCCCACAGAGGCCAGCTCTCCATCATCGACATCAGCCGTACCAAAGTTTAAATGGCACGAATGGTCGTCGTCTCGGCGCACTCAGTGATAAGGTGTTCTGGTGTTTCCCCATTTTCCCCACACAATCTGCATTCGCCGTTGTTTCTGGGCTTCAGCCTACTGAGGTGTTCGTTGAGAGTATCCTGCTAGAAACCCCGTGACAATCCGAAGATTGTTTTTACTTAAATCAAGGAAAACCTTTGATTTTTCTCGGTCGTAAGTTCTGAGGAACTTTTTCGAGTGTCTTAGACGGTTGGAGGACACCCATTCCAAGTTACGGATGGAGTCTTCCAGATTCTTCAGTTCCGCTTTCAGTTGGTTCCCGTTTGGAAAACAGAACGGTTCTGGTCCAGTTAGTGGAGTGTTCGCTCCTTTCCTAGCTAGATCATTTGCTTTTTCATTGCCTTCTATCTCTTGGTGAGAAGGCACCCAGAGTTGGAGGACTTTATTTTCTTTGCCTAATTTATTGAGCTTCTCTAGGTATTCTTTGACCAACTTCGAATTGATGGTTACTGAGTTGATCGCGTTAAGTGCTGCTTGACTATCGAATAGGATGGCAATTTTCTGTATTCGATAGTTCCTATCTAAATTTCTGCCTGGAGGATACTGGGGTTGGTGCCCATTGGGGTCGGAGTATTTTTAACAAGTCACAGGGTTTGAACTGATCACTAATTTTGACGTTTAAATTTTAGGCTATTATATAACTTTGTGCTTAATGGTAATTTCTATATTTTTATTAGGTCAAAAAGATGATAGAGGATCCGAATATAAACATACAAGAGGATTGGAAAATGATAACGATATTTTTTGGTGCTAACGATATATGTTCAGCACAATGCTTCGATCCGATCGAGGCCTCGGCGAGCAGTCACGCTTTGAAGCTGATGAGGGCATTAGATTATTTATACAGCAAATTACCTCGAGTATTTGTTAATTTAATACCAGTTTTAGGTAAGAAAAATAAAAAAATGCATTATAAACACAATAATTGCATAAATTGTAAGCATTATAATACATTTTAAAAATATTTTTAAATATTTATACTCTAGTCAAATTAGTTAAAAAAAGACAATCGATAAAAACATCCTAGAGTTTTGCAAATAGTCTTAAACTGTTCCTTTACACTTCATAGGGGAGTGGCTAAACGTCATTTTCTTTATTTTTTCGCTTATATCTATGACAAAAACTATGACATCTTAAAACAATTATATACAAAACTAGCGTGTACCAGCGACTTTGTTCGCGTCAAATTAATCATTTGTAATGGTGATGATAAAGCAAAGCAAGAATTTTCATTAACATACAAACTGGATAAAATTTTCTCACATTTATGTCAGCATGAGAAAAAATAATATGGCGATATTATTATATAACTTGGTAATATTTGAGGGGTAGTTTCATCTCGTTGGAATTTGACTTTCGAAAAATCCGTTTGCCAAAAATAATCTTTTTACGTCAAGCAGTTTAAGCAGAATCGTGGTTAAGAAATTACCGAACTTTTTGGAACACCCTGTATGATTTTTTAAAAAAAATTCAAAATATGTAAAAAAAACAAATAAATTATGCTTGTCCAAGCGTTTTCCCGAAAGACTAACCGTTTTTTAAATAACAAATATTGTAATATTTGAGGGGCGTTTTCATCCTCTTGGAATTTGAGATTCGAGAAATCCCTCCTTATCGAACCTCTTATCTATCTTCTTTATGAAACACCCTGTATAAATTTATAAAAAATCTTAAAATATGTAAAACAACAAAATAAAATATACGTGTTTAAGAGTTTTTCCAAAAACTCACCGGTTTTTAAATAAAAAATATTTTAATATTTGAGGGATAGTTTCACCCCCTTAGAATTCGAGTTTCGAAAAATCCCTTCTTATCGAACCTCTACACCCTAAAGTCCAAAAAATCAGCTTTTTACGTCAAGCGCTTTAAGCAGGATAATGATTAATCAATGACCAGATTTTTCGAAACACCCTGTATACGTTTTTTAAAAATCTTAAAATATGTAAAAAAACAAAATAAAATATACGTGTTTAAGCGTTTTTTTCGGAAACTTGGTCGTTTTTTAAATCAAAATGTTGTAATATTTGAGGGGTGGTTTCACCCTCATGGAACTGGAATTTCGAAAAATCCCTTCTTATCGAACCTCTACACTCTAGAATCAACCTGTATGCCAAAATTGAGCTTCTTACGTTGAGTGGTTTGAGCAGGATCGTGATTAATCAGTATGTCAGTCACTTAAGAATTTTATATATTAGTATTGATTAAACGCAAAAAATAACATAAGGTCCCTTTAGTGTCATCCGTACTAATTTTTTAAAAGTTGTAGTCATTTCCTGTGAAACAGGAAGTGACCAAAAACAACAGAATACGTCAATCAATACTAATTTATGTCATATACTAACATACCAAATCTCGTTTTTTTTATCTGAAAGAATAAAAAAGTTATAGGGGGGTGAGTCACTTTTGAGATGCACCCAGTATAAGCGAAAAAGTTAAAAAAAATATATATTTAAACCCTTCAAGCTTATCTACTATCTTCGGAGATTTTTGACACATATCCGTCAAAGTCTAGAGTAATCATTTAAAACCATTTTCAACTCTTTAGGATTTTTTTCTATCCATTTGTTTAATATTCGATTTCTTATTTTCGAATAATGATTTTTTCTACAAATTTCGGTCAATTTGTTCATTTTAAATAGAAACACTTATAAATACACAATATATTCTATGCCTATTATTGGATGTCTACATGAAATTCTTAACACACTTTTTTGTGTAAAATTTATTATCTATACTTAACTCTTTAAAATACCTCTAATATTATGTCAAGGTAGCATTTATAGAGCAGGAGATAATTAAATGCTCCATAATAAAGAATTGTTTGTTTGTTCTGGACAATTTGTCAAAATTCTTCAATTAATACCACTTCTTGACATTCTGGCGAAGGATATTTTTAACACAGAGATGTTTTCTAATAATTTATTTTATCTATATATCAATGTTTAGACTTGATTTTCTTATTTTAGATGTATCAGTAAGTATTAGGATTAAGCGAACGATGACGTGTAGATTTTTTCATACACTGTTTTGTACCTGCTTCCATAGGGGTAGAAAACCCTTGGACATTATTACAAATCTTACTCAGGAATATCAGAAAGAAGAAGAAAACTTGGTAAGTATTTCTTAATTTTTAAGATAACATTTGTTCATTTTTCCCAGAATAATATGTATTTAATAAACTTACTCTACAAGTTATATTTTTTTCTTTAATGTTAAAAAATCATACTTATTATTTAAAATACTGTACTTTAAGTTAAATTTGTTGAATCGTTGTCTGGTAATAAAATTTAGAAAACTAGATGATTTATTGGTATTATTTTTATACAAAATTAAAAAATATTTAGTTATACAATACAGGGTGTCAAAAAATAGAGTATCTACTTTTGGTGGGTGATTCTGCAGATAAAAATAAAACAAAAAGTTCCTATGAACATATACCCTAAAATGCTTCCCTATAGAAGCCCTCGAAGTTAAATACAAATAATTTAGTTTGTTTATTTTTAAGAACATTGGTAAACCGTTTTTTCTTGAAATTTGGTACACTTACACACATTTTAAAGCCAAAGCGAATGGCGATAGTGTAAAATTCCGTAACAGCCCTGAAAGGGTACTTTCCATTAGGGTAGAGGATACTACTGGTGGTATTTCATTTATCCTTATAGATACAGTAATTTCAACAAATGATATAAATAGCTAGAACTTTTTTATGTAAAACAGGTGCTCTTCGTTAAGGTCGAAAAGGTGAACGGTTTTCAAGATATTTGCGTTTAAAGATTACGATGCATCGATTTTAGTATTAGTGAAGTGATAAAATGTAAAGAAATTTTAAATAAATAATTAATCTGCTGATTTTGCTAATGCTAAAATCGATGCATCGTAATCTTTAAACGCAAATATCTTGAAAACCGTTCCTTGTTTCGAACGAAACGAAGAACGTCTTTTTTACATAAAAATATCCTAGCTTTAATTTTCATTTATTACCTTACCTGTTTTACGTGAAAAAGTTCAACCAAACCAAACCAAAACAAAAGGCTCAGGAGACATGGTTCTTACTGTAAAATTATATTTTATGAAAATTTCCACACGCGCGAAATTATTGCACAGGGTGTTATAGTTAGCATAAATAAACAACCCCTCGATTAATTCTGTATGCCAGTTACTAAAAGTTTATAAAAAACTGAGTTTACGAATTAAAGTTGATATAATTATATACAGTTTGCTAAAAAAATCATGAAAATAGAGCTAAAAATAACAAAAATATAACACTTTAAATTTGACCAAAAATTTCTCAGTTTGCTTGCGTTTTTTTTGTGCCTCTGAGTGTATATTGTTTTTATATAACCTTTCCAGGGCTGTAATTTGTTGGGGAAGCATTTTAGGGCATATATTCATAGGAACTTTTTGATTTATTTTTATCTATAGAATTATGCACCGAAGTTAGATATGTATACAATTTTTTGACACCCTGTTAATATATTATGTATATTCAAAATAATTGTTTTCTTTGCAGATATTTAGTGGGCGATATGATCAGAGGGATGACTTCACAGTGGTCATCCAGCCATTTATGAAACTTTTTAACGCACCTGAAGATCCATCCAGAAGACTCGACGAAGTCATTGATATTTCATACATAACTCATGACTGTTTCCATTTTTCTCAGAAAGGACATGCACTCGGTATGTACTCGTAGTTACTGAGAATGTACCAAAATAGAAAACAAAAATAAACTTTTAGGTGCATGAACAGTAGGGTGCATAAAAAAAATTATATTTTTTTTTCCTTTTAGTTACCGTGAAAATATCGTTCAGGATGACCAAAAAAATTCTGGTAAAGTTAAAGTTTTTAATATTAATATTTAGTAAGTGTCTGTTAATATTAATATGTGAGATTATGATTTTCTATTTCCCATTTAAATAATGTTACGTTTTTCGTCGGTTCCGTGTGGATAGAAAGTCACAATTTATTTAAACACTATTTATTTAACACTAATTAACAAAAACAATAACGATAAAAGACTTAAAGAACTATTTACAAACGATTTATAACTAAGAATTTATTTCGAATTTTAGAGCGTCAACTGTACTTGTCTATTTACAACTGCCCTCCCTAGGGCACAGCCGCCGGCTTTTATACCGACAGCTAAAGATCTCTAGAATAGTCCATAGATCGTTAGGTGCATAGAGAAGGTTTCGAATGTTCTCGTATGTACTACTCCATTCCAGTGGGACTCGATTCTTCTCGAACGAATGAGTCATTACGGTGTCTATTCTTTAATGCGATGTTACGGTCATCTGAGGGCGGGACATATAGTTAGGTTAGGTCGAGTCCATACGGGTCCGCAACAATAACACGGGGAAACAAACGTTTTTTTTTTAATTTTATTGCGTTCTAACAAATTAGCGTTTTGTAAAAGGCAATCCATACTCTTGTAGGAAAGGGACAACGGCCCAGCTACGTTGAAACACCGGTTCCCATTTTTGGGTGTTCCCAGAACACCGAAGTTAAGCGACATAAGGCGATACTAGTGGATGGACGGGTGACCGGTTTGAAACGCTGTATCGTGCTGTTGTCTAAAAAAAAGGCAAAAATGTAAAATCTATTGACACACACTGCTCATTCACGCCGCGCCGGCGCCGGTGCGAGGCCGGATCAGATCGGATATCTCGTGAATTAAAAGCAGTCGATTTAGACACGTGCCAAGTCGGTAGGCCATTGAAAATGATATGACCGAGGAATGCGGTTCGGATTCCGCGTAAACAAAGTAGTCCCCGTCCAGATTAGCCCTGGTAGCAAAAAGGAGACGTTAACTGAAATCTTTACTTTTTTTTCTTGTAGGAAATTGAACGGTCTTCAAAAAAGGTCTGATATGAATTCTCATTTAATTGACTAGTTTGAAAATTATTCAAAGTTAAAAAAAGCAAACTTCGTATATGATAATTTCCACAAATTTTCGAAGTTGAATTTTTACTTTGAATAACCTTCAAACGAGTCAATTAAATGAGAATTCATATTCATATCAGACCTTTTTTGAAGACCGTTTAATTTCCTACAAGAGTAAGGATTGTTTTTTACAAAACGCTGATTTGTTAGAATGCAATAAAATAAAAAAAAACATTTGTTTCCCTGTGTTATTTAAATGGGAAATAGAAACTTTTTAATATCCATACATATATAAAAGCTCAAAGGGTTTTTTTGTTACATCCATCCCGCCGAAACCGCTTCACCAATATTGATAATTCTTAGATTTGTTATGAAGTATTTTTATATTGTTTAATGGCTATTTCTTTGTGTAAAACGACTAAATACTAAAATATACCTGAAAAACACCTATACACAATACCAGTAATAAATTATTTGTCATTGTCAGTGGTGTGTCAGTTAGATTCATAGATAAATGAAACAAGTTTAGATAGGAAAGTGCCCATAAGGACAATGTAAACATTATTTGGCGCCATTCTTGCAACGGTCGCGACCCAATACTTTTGAAAATTTCGGAGCGGTACGGCTTTTTCCGGAATTATATCGCCAAATATTGTTTATTCAAATTTATTATTATTTTCATTTAATTTTATAAATAAAATATAGTGTGTTGCATACAAGAAACTTTATTTTATATAAGGACGCATGTATGAAATACCTACGAAACATTGGAAACCGACGTTACGCCACGATCCACGATGGTTTTTGCAGTTCACAGTTCACAGCACAGCTTTTTAAGTTTTTAATGTCACTTTTTCACAATTATCACCGGCTGGAGTAAATAAAACTTGAATTAAACTCACAAGACAGCAATAATTACTATGAAAATGGACGCTATAAACATTTTTCGGAATTTCTTTAATGAGAGCGGTTTAGATTTTGAAAGATTATTATGATTTTTGAAGATTCTGACTTTGACAAGAAAAAATTATTTCTGTTTTTGTTTGCCGTTGTTCTTAGCGACCGCTATAGCAGCGCCAGATCACGTATAATGGTCGCGACCCAAAATAATTTCGCTACCCAACATTTTTACGGGCTTTCCAATCTAAACTTGTTGCATTTATCTATGGTTAGATTATAAATAAAGTTTTTAGATATTTTAGGGGTCAGTTAATACCGCCAGCTTTAGATGCATAAATATTAGCACAAAGGTTCGTTTAAATAGCATCAGTGATTAGCGAATTAGCTACGCAAAGCGATTTTAGGAAATTCATCCTCTTAGAGTGTAAAGTTATATCAATTTGTTGTATGATAATTTGGTCTAGAAATATGAAATTCTACAGAAAGAATTAGAAGAGACTATTGAAATTCGTCAACTAAATAGGTAAAGTTAGTAAAAATGTATATAAACCTTAGTGACCTCTGGATTATACACATAAAAATTTGCACAAAGAATCATTTAATAGACATTAGTTAATTATTTGGACATACAGAATTTATTAAATTCATGCCCATAGGAAGTAGAATAGGGAATGAAAGTTTGTTGCACGAAAATGCATTACTATAACATCTAGAAGTATAAAATTTTATACAAGGGTTTATTTAGTAAAATCAATAATACGAACGAAATATTTATTCTTCAAACCATCCTTCTAGGTATAAAAAATAACGTATAAAGAGAGTATTAATGCTCTCGAAAAATAAAAATAAATTAGGGGAGTATTCAAGAAAAGCGAATATTGGTAACTTCAAATATTCAATTGAACACTTTATATGTCAAAGCTATTTATTTTAGTAATACAGTTTATATGGGACCATAGGTAGGGTTCTAGCTATAGAGGGTAAATAGTCATTTCACTATTTATTATTTTCGAGAGATTTTTTTTTCAGATTTTGCAAAATTTCGACTTTGGTTCGATTTCTAAAAAACACCCTATACATAATTAAGAAATAAAAATCACATCCACCCTCTATCCAACCATACATAATTAGTTTCAGTCAATGGAAGTAGTTTGAAATTTGAAAAAAAGTGTTAAAAAGCAAGAATCAAAACCAAAATTGAACTTCTTTGAAATACTATTTCGATAACAACCTCTAGAATTATTAAGATTATTTAACTTTTTAGATTTTTTTTAGTTTTTAGTTAGAAACCATAATTTTTTGATAATATGGTAACATAGGTAGTAGATTAAATTTACCAGACAGAAAAACCCGAAAAACTCCTTCTTCTTCTTAAGGTGCCGACTTCTTGCGAAGGTTGGCGACCATCATGACTAATTTTATTTTGTTGACTGCTGCCCTGAACAGGTCGTTTGATGTACAGTTGAACCATTCTCTGAGATTTCGAAGCCACGACATCCGTCTTCTTCCTATGCTTCTCTTCCCTATTATTTTACCCTGGATAATTGTTGTAGAAGCTTGTATCTTGTACCTCTCATTACGTGGCCCATATATTGGAGTTTTCTGATTTTCACCTTTTGGGACAATTCTAGATCTTTTGAGACTCTTCGTAAGACTTCATTGGTAATTCTGTCAACGTATGATATCCGGAGTACCCTTCTGTAAAGCCACATCTCGAAGGCATCTATCTTTTTAAGCATTTGTTTTGTTAGAGTGGCAGCTTCTATACCATAGAGCATTGTTGTAAATATGTAGCATCTTAGCATTCGTATTTTAAGGTGGTTACTTAAAGTTTTGCAACAAAAGAATTGCTTCATTTTAATAAAGGTGTTACGTGCTATTTCAATTCTCGTTTTTAATTCTGATGAGTAATCATTGTTGTCGTTGATCAGGGTTCCTAGATATTTATATTTATAGACTCGCTCTATTATCTGATGGTTTACGATCAGTTGAGTATTTTGATTTGGTGTTTTGGTAAATATCATGAGTTTTGTTTTATTAAGGTTCATATTCAAGCCATAATATTTACTTGTTTCATACACTTTTTGGACCATTCGTTGCAGGTCCTGTATACTTTCTGCTAGCAGTACGGTATCATCTGCGTATCGTATATTGTTTATAGGAACTTCGTTTACTACTACTCCAGCTGCTTCATTGTGTAATGCCTCCCTCATGATGACTTCCGAGTACATATTAAACAATGGCGGGGAAAGTATACATCCCTGTCGTACACCACGTTTGATGTTGCTGTTTTCCGTGTATTTATTGTCTATCTTGATGTTTGCTGTTTGGTCGTAATATAGGTTTTCAATAATTCTGGCATCTGTGGTATCTATTTGCTTTTCTCTCAGAATTTTGATAAGTTGTTCATGACGGACTCTGTCAAATGCTTTCCCATAGTCCACAAAGCAGGCGTACACATCCTTGTTAACATCCAAACAGCGCTGAGTCAACACGTTTATACTAAATAATGCTTCTCTCGTGCCAACTCCATTGAGGAAACCCAACTGTGTATCGCTGATGTCGTTATCCAGTTTTTTATACACACGGTTGTGAATTATTTTTAAAAATAATTTGAGTGTATTAGGCTTATGGTCCTATGATCTCGAAAAACTCCAGTGGTTCTCAAAATTTAAGCAAAAAGTGAAATAACTCGGTTATTTTGGAGTTATTTGAAAACGCGAACGTAGTCGCGGGAAAAAGCTAGTTAATATTAAAAGCTCAAAGTTTACCAGAATTTTTTTTCATCATCCTGAACGATATTTTCACGGTAATTAAAAAAATATTTCTTTTTTGTTTGCGCACCCTAATGAACAGTAAGTTTATTTCAATGTAGTACGATTACTCATAAAATTTGCTTAAATTGCATTTTTCTATACTATTATTTGTTAATAAGAGTGAAGAATGCAAGAAAACTTGATCATTTCATAAAATGCTTTTGTTGTGTAAAAGTATTAATTTTTTGGAAAATAATGATAAATTCGCTTAAAAATTGCTTCATCTATACAGAACAAATACAAGTGCCTTGTTATAGAAGAGATCTAATTTCACTTTTTGTTTTAGCTGCCAATATGTTATGGAACAATTTACTTCAACCAGTTAGTTTAAAAAGTCAAAGGAAACTAAACTACATCCTGGAGAAATTTGAGTGTCCTAAAAGTAATGCGCCATATCTGTTTACATATAAGAATTCAAAGTCGTATTTCAATACAGGTTTTCAATAAAAACAAACGTTCTTTTTATTCTTAACCCATTAAAATAATTCTATAGATATTTATTTTGCAAAATTATGTTAAGTAGATAGATACATATCAACGCCAAATAGAAAAAATTATATCAAAATAGTATATCGTTTTATTAGAAGTAAATATGATACTGGATGCGGCAATGCTGTACGTTTGACTTAGTTTGGCATTATAGGCGAGGCACAAAAAGTCATTTTTACTTCGAATAGAACATGCTATTTATTTGTCAAATGCCACAAATAATTTTTGAACAATTTCAATCGTTGCAAATAATACAAAAAATATTTAAAAGTAAAACCTTGTAAGTAATTGTATATATATCGAGAAAATATGGTTTCACTCGTTGAATTTGACATCTTATCTCAGTTTAATAATATATTTTCGTACTTTTGTGTTTAGGCGTAAAAGTGCTTTACTTTTATACCTAGGCTTTAATAGTTATTTATGGTACTAGTATGTTATCTTATCAGTCAGGCTGGGAAATGTTTATAATTTTCTCAAATGACTTATATGTTATAACACGCGAATGCCATACATAATTTTATCAAAAAGCAGAACTGTTTAATGTCCAATCTCTAAAGAATAATTTATTTAAAAAGATCTACCAGTTCTACTTTCATTGTTGCGAATTAATAAATTATCAGGGTGCGTTTATGTTACTATGCTATATAGATGTTTGTGTTTTGTAAATAATATATACTGGCATTAAGACGTCATTTAGATAAATCGCGATTTTTTAACCATAATATAATGATTATCAACCAGGAAGTCATATCTTAAAGAAAAATGATTCAGGAAGATCTTCCGCAAGAACTTATCAACCAGGCAGACGCGGCTACAGCACAAATACTGCCAGAAAAGTCTCGTGGCATATATGATAACACCAAATCTATGTATAACACACTAGTTTGTTATAACACAGATTATAATCTTTGTTTTTTCTTTATTGTTTTTCGTTGTTCCAATTTTCGGAATCGGGCACTAGTTAGGTTACTAGTTTGCGCACATAGCACGCCCATTTATGGCCTCTAAAATTGTGCACAGCGCCTGACCGGCACAGTTATTAGAGAGATATCGCAAAACCGAATAGCGTTATGCAGTATTTACGCGTACCTTATCATGGTTACGATATGCGCGAGTCAATTTTTAAAGCAACGCCCGCTAATAACGTTACCGCCTGACGTAATTTGCGGATCAATTACACCAAGCGCTATTTCTAAATAACGTTTAAAAATTGCTTAAATGGGCATGTGCGGGTATTTGACAACCGAAGCCGGCCGGCGAGATCTTTTATTTTAGGTTATGTTTGAATTGTTTTGAATTATTACTTTAGTTTTATTAGGTAGTTTGATATTTAAGTAGCTGGGATTAGTTTTAATTCAATAAATATGACCCAAAATATGGACTCCACCTCTTCCAATATTAAAGAACCTATAAAGAGGCTTAGGTTTACAGCAGATGACGACTTAGCGCTGCTAAGAGAATTTGTTGCTTGTTGCTCTAAGCCCACTGGCAGACGTTGTACAATAAAGCACTGGAAATAAGCACTTTAGCCCTTTAGTTTTAAAATACCTAGTAAACAAAACAATTTCAAAGTTAGGTTAAGTTTAAATAGCGGACGCGAACAGATTTCCGATCCGATAACTATAAATGAAGAGAGTTAATACCACCTCACGTAAAGGAAATAACACCTGGCCTTATTAACGTCCATGCACGCTATTCGGTTTAGCGATATCTCTCTATTACTCTGTTTATTGTTATTTTACGCCAGTTTATTTTTGCGCACAGGAAATTTTACTCGTTTGCACATCGTCATAAAAAACAATTTTCGTACCACGAATTAGGGATAAGATTTTTATCTGTATACATATAGTATACTTAATCCGTGGTTACAACTTCAAAAATTCACGCGTGTGTTATTATTTATTTTATATGCATCTATATATGTGAGTAATGTCTGTATAAGTAGTGGCATAAAATTACTTTTTTATATTGCAAAATTAATATTTTTGTGACGTTTGAAAAAAAATCTATTTTCCAAAACAATGATTATCGAGTTTTTCTCATTTATTCCTTTACACCGTATAATTATTTTATTACGTATAAATATTTTCATTGTTTATGTTTATTGTTTATATTTTCTTCGTTGGAATGCTGAAATTTAAAGTAATAATTACATTATAATATTTACATAAAACTGCGTAGAAAGCTTCTAACAATTTCGTGTAGGAATAATGTTTTAAATATACATAGTTTGGCAGCTCTTATTTTATGTTAGAAAAATTTTCCAAATTGGTCAAATTAGACATTTAGGACTTTTAGTAAAGTGTAAACAACGTTATAAAATTAAACCTTATTAAAGTAAATTTGCACACGAAAGAAGAGTTAATGTATAGAATTTGCAAATTTACCAACGATAATAATAATCTACAAGAAAAATAAATATATACGCAGATTATATTTCAGAAAAAAAAAACAGAAAGAGCGAGAAGGAATATTGACCACGTGTCAACAATAATAATTAATAATTGCTATATGCATAGATTTAGCTATGTATTAAATTAATAGTCATCGTTTAGCAATTAAAATATACAGTGCCCGGCAATAATGCGTTGGGCATCTGTAACTCCTATAATGAAAAACTTAGTAATTTTGTTCATAGGTAAACTAAAGTAGGTATTAGAGACTACTAGAATGTATTCCACAGAAAAATATTTTAAATTCTACAGGGTGTCTCAAAAGACTGTGTGTGAATCGGGATGATTTTTTTAAATGGAGAAACACTATATTATTGCATTTTTGGCTTTCTTTCTGATCACTTTACAATCTTTACATAATTTTATGATATTATTAACTATGTTTTTATAGTTTCAAAGATATTAATAAAATAAATAAATAAAAAAAAAGTTTTTCAGCCTTTAAAAATATATTAAAAATATTGGAAATGTTCTAAAATCAAAACTATACTGGGTAATTAATATAGTTGGTCTGTACTTACTTTGCTTTAAATATATCGAAATTGTAGTCTTTGTCGTAATCTTAGATCCAATAGGATTCAAAATTCTATGCCAAACTTTCTAAAATAAAAAATTGTTTTTTAATATTGTGTATATTATTTCTTTGTTAGATGGATAATTAAATAATCAACATTTTTTGTATGTAAAGTATTTCAATTTTAATATATTACATATGGGTTTTTCAACAGTTTTATTTTATCAGAGTCACCTACAAAAAGCTTTTTATAGGTAACCTACATAAAAAGATTATTGTCTGGTATTTTACCGTTGAAAGAGCCATATATGTAATGTAAAAATTTTTAAAAATATGTAGCAATTTAAAATACTTTAAATACAAAAAATGTTCATTTTTTAATTCTCCATCTAACAAAATAAAAATATACAACGTGTTCCATTTAAAAAAACAAAGACAAATTATTTTATGTTTAAGAAAGTTTGGCATAGAATTTTGAACTCCATGTATGGTTTAAGATTACAATATTTATAGCAAGATAAGTACGGATCAACTACAGCATTTTTTGTATTTTTAATATTTTTTTTAAATAGGCTGAAAAAATATTTATTTGTATTTATGTATATCTTTGATACTTAATATTTTTTTAAGGCTGAAAAACTATTTTTTTAATTTATTTATTAATATCTTTGACACTATCAAAACATATTCAATCTTAGGATTATGTAAAGTGGTCAGAAAGAAAGCCAAAAATGCAATAATATGCATGGTGGTTTATTTAAAAAAAATCATCCCGATCTACTCACACTTTTTTGATCCATTCTGTAAACGTTAAATATTTTTCTGAAATACATTCTATTACATACTTTAGATTTGCAGAAAAAAACAAAATTACAAGATTTTTTATTACAAGAACTGGGGACTGATCAACGTACTATTTGCGAACCCTGTATAAAATCAATTAATTTTGTATAGGTAGTTTTCTAATAATTTTATCACATATACATTGACGCAAAACACAATTTATACATGAGCGGTAAAAATAAATAAAAAATTAAGTTAACGTCTCTTGTTGGTGCTAAGGCTAATCTGGACGGGGCCCACTTGGTGTACGCGGAATCCGAACCGCAGTCCCCGGCCATATCATTGTCAATGACCTACCCAGTTGGCGAGTGTCTAAATCGACATTCTCACGAGATATCCGGTCTCAGCCGACCTCGAACCGGCGCGAATGAGCAGTGTATGTCAATAGATTTTACACCCTTACCATGGAACAACAGCATGATAGAGTTTCCAGACGGTCACCCGTTCATCCACTCGTATCGTCTAACATCGCTTAACTTCCGTGATCTATCGGGAACCGGCATTTCGACGTAGCTGGGCCGTTGCTCCTACAAAGGAATAGTATATTACAGCATAGGTATAGTTAGTTTTGAATCACTCTATATGTTAACAATAATTATTCAAATTTGCCTTACACACTTTGTAAAAAAAAGTTAAAATCCTAGGTCAGGAAACCTGAAAATAACTTGCTAAATCACTCTGTAAATTTAAACTTTGTCATTAGCAACAGAGTATTTATAGAATGTCCTTTTGGGACAGCTAAATGTAGATAATGTTTATTTATGGTTAAATTAATGAGTTTTCATTAATTCTGCCGGATAAAAACCGTTGAATAATTGACCTGGTCTGCCTCTCAACGAACACCTGCCTTCACAATAATTTATATTTTGTTGAACCTTTTTGAAACAATATAAAAACTTTTAATAAAACTAAAAAACTATTACTTTCAATGTAAATAACATAGTTACAATACTCTATATATAATTTTTATAGAAATATTTTACAGGATATGTATAAAAATGTGCAAAAAATTAATTAATTCTCTTTAATATCAAATCCTTAGTGAGACTCCTTAGTCTTGATATTAAGTCTTGTAGAATGTAGAATGTTTAGGAGGGGAGTTAATCACCGCGACCTTATATATCTATTGTGTGTTCCCCTTTCTT